CCCCGCTCCGCCTCTCTCCTCCCCGCACCGCCCCGCTCCGCTCCGCCTCCGCTCCGCCCCGCACCGCTCCCCTCCGGCCTGCACCGTCCCCGCACCGCCCCACACCGCCTCTCTCCGCACCTCCCCGCTCCGCCCCCGCACCGCCCCGCACCGCCCCTCAAGTCCCCGCACCGCCCTGCGGAAGCCTCGGGCTGATGCGTGCGCTCCCCCCGGGCCTGGCGGGGCTCGGGCCCCTCAGCAGGGACAGCGCCGTTCCTGGCCCGGCCTGGGCTGAGCAGGAGCTGTAAGGACCGAGCCAGCGGTGCCCGGGCGGCCGGGAGGGCAGTGGGGTCCGGGGGGCTTCGGGAGCAGGTCAGCCGGTCATCGGCAGGTGAGGGAGGTGATCCTGCTCTTCTACTCGGCCCTAGCGAGGCCGTATCTGGAGCGCTGTGCCCAGTTCTGGGCTCCTCAGCACCAGAAAGACAAGGAGGTGCTGGAGAAGGTCCAGGGGAGGGCCACAAAGATTATCTGGAGTCTGGAGCCTCTCTGATGAGGAGAGACTGCAGGAGCTGGGCTGCTTTAGTCTGGAGAAGAGCAGCCTGAGAGGGAATCTCAGCAATGTGTACAAATACCTCAAAGGCAGGTGCCGAGGGGATGGTGACAAACTCTTTTCAGTGGTGTCCAGGGACGGGACAAGGAGCAATGGCCATAAACTAAAACACAAGAAGTTCCACCTCAGTATGAGGAAGAGCCTCTTTCCATTGAGGATGGCAGAGCACTGGAACAGGCTGCCCAGGGAGATCGTGGATTCTCCCTCTCTGGAGACATTCAAAACACGTTCCTGTGTGACCTGCTCTACCTGACCCTGCCTCGGCAAGGGGCTGGATGATCTCCAGAGGTCCCTTCCAACCCAAACTAATCCTGTGAATTTCCCTCTCCCATTATGTGGGAGATGAGGGGCAGGGTGGGAGATGTCCTGCTGCAGCCACAGGTGGTGTGCAGTGCCCATCATGGAGATCACAGCATGGAGAAACACAGTTTTTGTTTGCACACTGAGGAGGGGCCCTGCCACTGATCTGCAGGGCAGACAAAATCTCAGTGATCTCTGCTTAGGGTATAAATAGAATCATTTATTTCTACATCAGAGGTGTGAATTAAATACTTCGTTCTGTTGTTTAGATTGGCAGCAAACGGTTAAGCTCTTGGAGCAATTCATCCCTGATCGGTGTCCCAGGGCTGGCTGGGTGCAGCCTTCCAGGCAAGCCAAGGATGCTCCTCCCTGGGAAGTTGTTCTGTCACTTCTGCTAGGAAAAGGAACAGCAATGAGACATCCCCAGTGGTTGCGAGCACTGAAGCAACTCTGTAGCTCTCTAGGAATGGTAGGCAGGCCACTGGCTGTTAAAATCGGGACCATGAAAGGTTTTGAAACCTTAATTAGTTTCACAGTGTTTAGTTTCATGAGTCTTGCTACTTGTTGTGTTCTCGGTCTGCAGGTGGCCAGCTCCTTGATGAGGCCATCATAAGGAGTGGGGGAGGACAGAATGGAAGTGCCTCCACAGCTTGTCTGCCATTAGGAGGATAATTAACTGTTCATTAGAATAGGGATTCAAACCTGGCTTTCCAAACAAGCACCTTAACCACATCTTGGCAAATTCACTTTCTCCTTCACCTAAACCCCATGAACATTTAATTGTTCGTACAAAGTGGAAAAACACTGAGTGGAAAAACTGGGAGAGTCTCTCCCAGTCAGCATTAGCATTTTTGAGAGCATTTTCAATGAGAGGGGGAAATTTGCATTCAGATCCTTGCTAACCAGGGAAATTGCAACCGAATTTCCCTTCCGCCAAGGAGCTGTTGTTATCCTTGACCATAGGGACCTCCTGTCCCCACTGGACAAGGAGTGCTAGGCAGGGAATTTGGGAATGTACTGTGAGAATCATCCTGAGGAGAAGGATTTGGTTTAGTTTTGTGAATGCCTATTAGCAGAAAATGTAGGGTCACAAATAGTGGGCTTGGGAGTTGGGAGCTCTATGACATTTGGATACCTATTTGCCCCTGTGAAATGCAAACTTCCTCAGAGCAGGTCTGATTGAGACGGTTTTTAAAGTATCAAAACCAGCTAGAAATCTCATCTTTCCAAAATAATTGGAACAGATTGGTAGGAAGACAATAGAAAATATCTCTGACACAGCGAGATCCAGTAGAGGGTCCTCTGTTTCAGGATTACATCCACCCTACCCACACTCCAGAAGGACTTTCTGATTAGGTCTATCTGCAGTAATCACGGAAAGGTTGAGTCTGAAATCAATGTACCACTTTGGTTAGGCTTAAGTGTGTGTCCTGAATCCAGATAAAACCATGGTTTGTGAAAGTTCTCTTTGAGAAGATCTGAGGTGAGAGAGAGAGAGAGAGAGAGAGAGAGAGAGAATGAAAATATACATTACTTTGCAAATACTAGAAAAGGAATATACTTTTTTCTGATCAGGAAAGCTGGAGGCTTAAGCAAAAGCTGCTCTACAGGAGCCTTAGTGTTTTTTTCTTTTTAGTGCACAATATGGTTCAAGTTTCCTACTGATGCAAAAGTGCTGTACAGAGCTTTTTAATTTAACTGCACTTTGTTAAAGATCTGTGGGTTGTCAGCATCTTGCTGCTCTTGCTTTTACTTGTATACATGACAGCCATTTCCAGTGACAGAGTGAATGCATTGCTCTAGCCTGAAGAAAATAAACCAGAATCTCATCATGGGCAGAAATCAACCTATCTCTTTCTCCATATTTCCCTGAAATGTATTTATTTCTTGATAGAAAAGCTATTCTCTGACAAATAATGTTTCCTGATATACACCAATATTGGAGGCTTGCTTTATTTGACATTAAACGTGAGCTGGTGATTCAATAATGAAATTTATTTGCCATTAAAATGAAAAGCTTAGTGTAAAAATATAACTTTGACTTTCACCAAACAAAATATTACAAAAAAGAGGTATTTTTGTAACAGCTTATTCAGGCAATACTTCAGGAGTGTTAATATTAAACACCTTTAAAAAGCAGACTTAAGTTCTAAAAGTAAAAAGTCCTGAAAGTAATTGCTGACTACTTTCAAAAAGATTTGTTATAAGCACCACATCAACTATGTTTTGGCACCAAACTGGACACCGATGACAATTGTTTGGAGCAGTTGCTCTATTTAAGGAGTACTTGAAACATTGAGAAGAGGAAAACTCAGTTTAACAGGTGAAGCCTAGACTGCTCACAATTAACAAGCTATACTTACAAATTATCTTTTAATTGATCACAAGATGCCAATGACAAATAAAATAAAAGACATGAAGATTGCATTCTGGATTAAATAGTATCGCCATTAACTAGCACAGTTGATATACTAATTACTGTGCCAATTATCTAGCAATTAGTATGATCTCATAACTAGTATTTTTTCTGTCCTGTGAGGTCTAAGCAGATTAGAGCTTGTGCACAGATTCTCTCTCAATTCCACTGCGAGGTTGTGCTGTTCAAGAACAGTATGAGCTCACGTTAAAAACTGACCTCTCCTTCAGATCCACAAAAAGGAACACTACATGTGAGTGTGGCTCTTTGCTGGCATCTGGTCCAACCTCCCTGCTGCAGCACATGGCACAGGACTGTGTCCAGAGGGTTCTGGAATATCCCCAGCAAGGGGATATCCCCACACCCTCTCTGGGCAATCTGTTCAGTGTGTGGTCACCCACACAGAAAAGATGTTCTTCCCCATGTTCAGTTAGAACTTCCTGTGCATCTTTCTGCCTGTTGCCTCTTGTCCTAATTCTTGGTGCTTGAGAAGAGCCTGGCTCCATCCTCTTGGCACCCACCCTTCAGATATTAATACATATTAATGAGGTTCCCCTCTCAGTCACCTCTCCTTGAGGCTGAGCAAGCCCAGCTCACTCAGCCTTCTGCTGCTGAAGGCTGGAGTCACTCTCCCACTTTGCCAGTATATAAAGGGAGACTTATCTGCAAGGGTTCCTGAAATAATTTAAATCTATGTGTTAAGAATACCGTATGTTGAAGGCTGTAAAGCAATTGACTGTGGAGAGATATCCCTGAAACTCCAGGAGAAGCACAGAAAAAAAATTATACCTTGCCTGACTGCACATTTTAAAGTAGTACACAGGAATGTTAAGGACATCAAAGAGGTTAAATATAAACCTCGGATTCTGTGTTTTATCTTAGCTGAACATATATAACATTTGCACTCCTGGGTTTCCAAAGATATCTCTCATATGAAGTTACCTTTTCAGAAGAAAATATAGAGATAAAAATGGACTCCTGATCTTAGGATCAAATAACTTCCAGCTCACAACTTCCAAGAATTAGTTATTGATATAACTGCTAAATACTGATAGTTTTCTGGGGCTTTACTATTGCAGCAAGAGTGTTGTGATCTAATTTAACTTGTGTTTTCATAACAGGATCATTTCTTTAAACCAGTCTGTCACTTCAGGTGGAGTGATTCTTATCCTCCAGTGAAGAAAAATCCTCTCCTCCACAGGAACACCAATGGTTGTCTTAATTCAGCCTTGTGCTTTGATACCAGTTTGGCTTGATCAAATCTTAGTACAGTCATTAAAATATTGGATAAAGAGACTGAAAAGTCTTGCTTTCAGAAAAGCTTTCTCAACCAACACAGGAGAATCACATGTTGCCCTGGAGACTGTGAGTTTCATTCTGCTCGGTGGAGAGATCTGCTCATTGTGAACCATTACAGCTACTACACCAAAGGGAAGGTGAGTGGAGTGAATCACTTAAAAACTTCTATTCCCTCTCTGACCTCCACATGTAATGTAAACAAAGAATGTAAGTAAACATATGCATAATTTAATACTTTGCTGCAGGCCTATGACTTAAAAATATGAAATGGTTTGCCACTAGCAAACTGAAAGAAAAGGTTTAGGAACACAAGAAATGCTACAGGGTAGAACTACATATAAACAAATGAGGGTTTAGAGAATATTCTGTAATCTGACAGATGGTCTGAAAAGCTTCTGACACATCAATGGAGGAGAATGGCAGCAGGGAATGGTCTGTGATGCTGTAACTCCTCCAGTCCCACGTATGTCAGAAAGAAATACAACTGCATTCCTGAAGTATTTGGGTTCAGTGACAAAATAAGTTTCACTCATTACCTGGAGATGTCTTGACCACGCAGTATTTTCTAAACAAGAAAATGTAGAAAACTTATAAAGTCCAGTTTTGGGAGCCAGCTGTGAGCCTCTGGGGCTACCTGAGTGCAGAGGGTATCCAAGATATGTCTGCTGCCCCTCAGCTCTGCTGGCAGCCTTCACCCTGCTGCCAGCTGTGCCCCTGACATCACCAGCTGCCTTAAGGATGTCTGTCACATCCGTGAGAGGCTACAGGAACACACTGAAATCTTTTGCTGCAGTCTGTGCACCTTTTCCAGACAATACCAAAAATAAATATAATAAAGGGCTAACGTGTGCAGTTGTGTGACCTTCAGCTCCCTAAATAATTTGATTCGGAACCCACAAGAAACATCATGCTGAGGTGGTGAGGACATAAGATGGAAGAGCCTGACAGAAATATTTGTGTAAAACTGTCTCTCTCTTTCAGGCCAGTAAGCACTATCTCAGTACATAAGCAGCATACACACCTGTCTGAGAAGGCACCAACTGAAACTGAGTGTAAAGTAACTTAGCACCTAAGTGTGACAGAATCATCTCCCCCTTTCCTAACTGCCCTTCGGAACCTGAATCTGGGAACCAGGATCTCAGAACCGGGCTGAAGAAACCATAATAGATAGTTTCATTTCAAAATCAAGATGACTGTAATCGGATTTTTTTTTTTTAACAGCACAATTCTTTGTCTCAGCTTTCTTCAACAAGTTCGTATTTCCCTCACTCGGAAATGAGCGGGGCCTGTGGGCGGGGCGGGCAATGTGATTGACAGTGCAGGGGGGCGGGGCCGGCGGGAGGGGCGGGGCCGGTGATGTGATTGACAGCTCAGGGGGCAGAGCCGGCTCGCGCGCCTGCCGCTCGCGGGGCGTGACGTCACACAGCCCCTCCGTGCGGTGACGTCACTCCCGCTCCTCCAGCCCCCCCGTGACGTGGATGTGACATCACAGAGCCAGAAACTATTACGTTTTTGCCCACAGGGTTATGGGGAATGAGACGGGGGTGAGGGGCCAGAGCCTGCCTGATTGCTGCAAAACGAGGACTGTGTCCAAGTTTTCCTAAGAAAGGATGCTCGGTGGTTGATCTTTGTAACTTTCAAGCCCAAGAAGCACGAGAGGCCATGAAACTTGTTTGCCCTGTTAGGGTTTAGGGCTGGATGTGTCTCAATGATCTCAGCGCTGGGAGAGGCTATCAAACCCCGGGAGGAAGGATTTCCACTGGCAGTGGGCACAGGGAATGCAGAATTTATGGCCCCCAAGGATATCTGGCAAAACTCTCAAGATGAGGAAGGATCTAGTAACGGCAGCTCAGGACCTGGGCTGGATCAGCTCCCACTGGACACAGGGCAATTCCAGCAGGGGTAGATCGTGACCACCGACCCCAGAAATCCCCCAGCCAAAAGGAAGGGAAAGACTGGGCACAGGGTCAATTAGCACGGGAAGTGAGAGTCATTAACCAATGGAATACAAAACATAAAGAGATAGTGATCAGACACTGGGATGGGCTGCCCAGAGAAGTGGTGGAGTCACCATCCCTGGAGGTGTTTAAGAGGCCGGGTATGGACTCAGTGCCATGGCGTGTTGACAAGGTGGTGTTGGGTCATGGGTTGGACTCAGTGATCTCAGAGGTATTTTCCAGTCTAACTGATCCTGTCCTTCTGTAATTAACAACAGAACTACGTATCTTGCAGCCAATGGACATTAACACCTTTGTTTGCTGAAGTGTATAAACAGTGACAGCTTTAGAGAGTCGGTGTGCTGGATTTGTTGGAAATGTCCACCGTCCACCTGCCATCAAACAAACACCTCCTCTCTAAACCTGACTCTGTGTGTTTAGAGAGCTCTCAAAAATGTCCCTCTTGCTCTGTCAGCCCTGCTGGTTCTCGTGACACCATATCCCCACTCTGTGGTGACACCACAACCCCCCCACACACAGTGACACCACATCCATCCCTCCCCAGTGACACCACATCCTCCCCCATGGTGACACCTCTCGCGCTGTCACCAGGTAATGTGGGGCCAGGCAAGGGCAGGGGAGGGCTCAGGCAGCCCACAAACACACCATCCAGTTTTAAATCACCCCTACATTGGCCAACCCTGCCCCTCTCAGCACAGCGAGGTCTCCAGGCTCTCCCGGCCTCGGCACCCTCACACTGACGCAATCACGGGGCGGTTTGTGGCACTTCCACAAAGTGTTTCTCTTTTACAAACCCACCTGGTCCCTCATGTGGCTACAGAGGGGCCCCCCTGCCCGAGGGCCAGGACAGAGCCTTGCGCAGGGGTTTTGCAGGATTTCCATGAGTGTCCGTGCTGGGAACCGAGGGGATGCTGTTCTGGGGAGGGGGGCTGCGGCCACAGCTGTGAGTGGGGCACGACGGTCCCGTCCCTTCTCCCCGTCCCAAAACACCCTCCTTCGCCTCCAGGGCACGGGCCAGCATGTAGCTGACCTTCCTCTGGTGGGCCAGGGCCTCCTCCTTGTCGTTCACCTGGGGGTGTTTAACAGAGAAAGGAGAGAAGGACCTTCGTCAGCTGCTTGTAAAAAACAAGGCGCTGTTTGTAAACTGTGCATGTTTAAAACATGTCTGAACAAAATACTGACCAGATCTATCAGCATCTTCAGGATCTCCTGGGGGTTGTCCAGCTCCTCGACCCTCCTGCAGTCCCCACCCGAGGAGAGCAGGCTGGACAGCTTCTGACCCAGATTGCTCTGGTTGGCTTGGAACTTGAGGCGCTCTGAAGGAAACAAAAGTGCATGAACTGTGGAATTCATGGTAATTAAGTTTTTAAACAGTAAGTAGCCTGAAAAAAACAATGATTCTCTGACACAGGCCATTTGTAAGATTCCTAAAAGCATTAAAATACAATAAAATTATAGCACATGGGCACCAGATTACAGAAATTGAAAGCGATATTTTTGCTTTAAGGGAAGTCAGGGTGTTTGCTCTTGTAGTACCACACCCCAAGAGTGCCCAAAGATTCTGGGAAACCCATCAAACTTCTAATCCTGGCAGCTGCAGGTCAATTACCAACACAGATACATCCTGATGTCCCATTCCTAAATTCTGCAGTGGTTTTGACCAGAACATAAGAACTTAAATACTTCTCTTTATCCCTTTTTTTTAAAGAATAGAAAGGATTATTAGAATTCATCCTATTTTACAGATTCAAATTCTTCCTCTTTTACAGAGGGTTTTGTAACTCTGTAACATACTAACTGTAAGAATAATAATCAGAAGCTAAATAAAAAGCTAAATTGTTTTTTAAAAACCCAAAAAACAACAAAACAAACCACCACCAGCAAAAAAACCCTAACAAAAAAAAAAAAAAACAAAAAACAAAAAAACAAAAACCAACCAGAAACCTAAAGTTTATCCAGTCCCGTCTCCTTCCACGTGGCTTTTCTCTGCTGTTGTTATAACAAGCATCTTTAACAGCCACATATTATTGCCATCCTGTGCAGCAGCTTATTTATTCCATCATGTTTTCAGTTAAATAGTGGAGTTCATACACATGTAAATTCGAAAAGAGTGCAGTAAAAGCCCGGACTGGGAGCCCCAGTGTCCCACAGGACCTGCACACTCTGCATTTCACACAGGAAACTCAGAGTAGAAATTCCTCAGTGACCAAACACACCATCTAATATCACAGTGAGTATTCACAGCTTTGTTTTTCCTTGACTCTCCATAACCCCCACCAGCAGCTGAGCTGCAGCCACACATCCCACAGGGTAAGAAGGTGCTCAAGCCCCGTGCTCCCTCCTTCTCCAGCCAACCCTCCCAGACCCTCGGCTGGCCCAGGTACCAGTGCCCCTCAGACGCCTCCAGTTTGCAAATTTAGTTTCCTTCTTCATCTTTATCCCTTCTGCAAGTCTCAGGGCCTGGTCCTTCCTCTGCATCAGCTGCTGCTCAAAGGCAATTCTGAAGGCATCTGCCACGAGAAACGCTTCATCCTTACTCTTCTTCAGATTTTCAGTCTGGTTTTAATCCAGGGAAAATTTAAAGTACTTTAAGCAACTTGAAGGCAAAATCAGATTTAAAGCATATATCAAGACACAGACAACTTGTAAATAAAAAGGAAGTAGTAGGAACCAAATGAAGGGTTTTCCTGACATATTTTGACGTGTGTATTAAGCCTTTTCTCTAAATATGCACAAACCACCGGCCATCTACACAGACAATCATCTCTTAGTATTTATCTCTGTTCATCTCTGCACATGCAAAAGAGATTGAGGGGGGCAATAATGTCCTGTGCCTGCTGGGCCAGGAGCAAAAGGAGCAAAGACAATGAAACCTATGTCGAGGATAATAATTTTGGACAAAAGCGACAGGGCAGTCCTTATTTTCAAAACCAGTAAGTCAACTGGAACTTCTTCAGCAGGACCAAAAGAACAGGCTTCCACATTTCCAGACTCAAAGACAAAACAAAAATTCTAAATTCACAGATTTTCACTAAATTTAAAAAAAAAGAAAATTAAGAGCTTGAAAGTCACATTTATTGATTTAAGCCCGAGGTAAATATATATTTTCCAGGAAGATAAGCCTCCTGACACAGCTGAGGGTGCTGATGGCAACCCAAGGAAGGGGTGGAATGCACTGCCAGGAAGGAAGGAGGAAGGTCAGTGGCAGTCCACACACACAGTGTGTACATTTATGGAGTGCATACACTTAGGAAGTGTTTTCCTTTTATAAAAAATATGGGAGGAAGGAAAAAAAATGGAAAAGATTTTGCTGTTGTTGTTGTCGTTTTTCTTACTAGTAAAGCTGAATAGACATAATTACAATTTTTCTACCAGCAGAAGTTAGGGCATTACAAGCACCACAAGCAAGCTCTACACTATCTGTGATATCCCTTCTGGCTTTAAAACACCCGAGTTTGTGTCAGTGGTGGCTGAGCATTTCTGAGTTTGTTGGGTCTTGAGCACCCCGACCCCTGTTCCCACCCCTGCTAGGCACTGTTACCTCTTCCTTGAGATGCAGGAGCTGTTTCCTGGTGAGAGCTGCCACCTTGGCACAGGGGCACGGCTGCCCCTCGGACGTGCTGCAGGTGCAGGCCCCGAGAACTGCCAGCTGAAAACCCAAAATGAGCCACCTGTTAAACACCCCACCAAAACTGCCACAGAAAACAACACCCAAACTGCCAAACCCACCACCCAAACTGCCAAACCCAACACCCAAACTGCCAAACCCAACACCCAAACTGCCAAACCCAACACCCAAACTGCCAAACCCAACACCCAAACTGCCAAACCCAACACCCAA